GAAAAATGAGGAAGATGAAAACGCCTGTTTTCCTCTAAATTCACCCTATGGTCCTTGCAGAATGTAACATGAGGTGACCTGCACATTTGGGCTTTGGGGTGATGGTAATGCGTATTTTACTTCAACCAGGCAGTTCTGTTCTTCCTCTCCTCCTGCTACACTCTACCTGGGTTCCTTGCTCCGTACCCCTGGCCAGTGTCTCATAGATACACTCCAGCCAAGTCCCATCCTTCAGGCTGACCCCAAAACAGCACCCTTTCTGCCAACACTTGGCTTTCCCTGTGAACATTGAAAAGTCAAATCCCTACCAAAATCAGACTTTTTTGGCGGGTGACCAAACTTAAAAGTTTAGAATAAAGTGGGAATATAAGAGGCTCAGTCATAGCTGGGACATGCAAACTACAGAATCATAAAATGGTTGAGGCTGGAAGTGACCTCTGGAGATCATCTAGTCCAGCCCCTCTGCTCAAGCAGGGTCAGCTAGAGCGAGTTGTCCAAGGCCGTGTCCTGTTCGGTGTTGAGTATCTACTTCCACAGGTGGACATGCTGTAAGCTGTCCAGGCAACATGTTCCAGTGTTTGATCACTCTCATAGTAATAAATAAATTTATTGTATTCAGATTGAGTTTCATGGCTTAATTTGTGCCTGTTGCCTCTCGCCCTGTTGGTAGGCACTGCTGAGAAGAGCCTAGGCTCCTCCTCTTTATTCCCTCCCATCAGGTATTTGTGCTGTCCTGGTTTAGGCCCAGACAGCAACTAAGCACCATGCAGCCATTCATTCACTCCTTCCCCTCAGTGCTGGGAAAGAGAAAAATAAATCAAAAAGGCTCAGGAATGGAGATAAGGACAGAAAGGGGTCACCCACCCATGATGATCACAGGCAAAAGACAAGTTTGTTAGGGGAGGAAAAGAAAGGTATCACTTTCATTCAAAACACTAACAATGATGACACTTGACAGAATGGGACAGTGAGAAGCGTTATCAAATCTTAAAACACTTCCCCCCGACTCGTCCCCTTCTTCCCAGGCCCACCTTTGTTCCCAATGTTTCTACTCTCCTCCCCCAGCGGTGCAGGGGCAGGGGATGAGGGGTGCAGTCAGTCCTGCTGCTTCTTCCTCCAAGGAGGGGGCAGCACTCTTCTGCATCCCCCCCTGCCCCACAGGACATCCCTCTCACAGCAGACAGCCCTTCACAGACTCTCTCCACCGTGACTCCTCACTACAGGATTCATCTTCTCGAGATGGTCCGGTGTAGGTCATGTCCACATACTGCTCCTCCCAGCACTGAACTACAACAGTGGGGGCTGCTTCTTCCCACAGGGTCCTGGGGTCCCCCACATGTGAGTCTCTGCTCCTCTGGTGACCTCCATGGGTGGCAGGGGGGTCCCTGCCATCTCACCACGGGATACAGGGGGCTGCATGCTCTGGTGCACCTTCCCCCCTTCCTTCCACTGATCTTAGAGTTTGCAGAAGTGTCCTCATAACTCCTCCTCACAACTCTAATTCTTCCTCCCAGGTTCCCCTTTTAAAATACATTATCACAGAAGTGCAGTCACCGTTGCTAATCACAGAATCATCTTGGTTGGAAAAGACCTTGAAGATCATCCAATCCAGCCACTAACCTCACACTGACCGTTCCCAACTCCACCAGATCCCTCAGCACTGGGTCAACCTGACTCTTCAACCCCTCCAGGGATGGGGACTCCCCCCATTCCCTGGGCAGACCATTCCAACGCCCAACAACCCCTTCTGCAAAGAAATGCTTCCGTATATCCAGTCTAATTGGCTTGGTCTTGGCCAGTGGTGGGTCCAACTTGGAGCCACAGGAACTTTCAAGAAGCTTCTTGCAAGGCCCACTGCCGTAGCCCCTCCCCTGCTACCAAAAACCCTGCCACACACACAAACCCAGCACATATGCACATCAGGAAGTTCTTCCTGGAGCTTTCTCTGCTGCAGGCTGAACGGTCCCGGCTCTCAGCCCCTCCTCGCATGACAGATGCTCCATTCCCTTTGTTATCTTCACAGTCCTCCATTTGGGAAGCACCCACACAGTAGGAGACGGCTCCCCAGCAGCTGTTTTCCCCAAGCTGCACCGTATGGACAGGCCTAGAGCCAAGCCACGGTAATCTCAGTAGGGTCAGGACTGGAGGCTGCAGGACTCTGAGGCGTTACCTCAGCAGTGCCGTGGCAGGAGCGGAGCAGGAGCATCGTCTGGAAGGCAGCACCATGTGGAGGTGCATGCAGCAGAGCGCTGTAAGGGAACAGGGAACACAGGATGGAAAAGCTACCCAAGTGGGAAGTGCTGGGGTCTGAAGGGAGCACTAACTCTTCCCCTAACCCTGCTCACCCTGACTCCAGAGTCACGGAGAGGCTGAGAGGGGATGGCAAAGGCCGCAGCCCTCCCCAGCACCGGCAAGCCAGACTAAAGCCGCGGTTGCCAGTGCATGGCCCAACTGCCCAGGAGTGTGGAAAGGGTGTGGGGGAAAGGAACACAGGGTGTCCTGAGCACTGGTACACCTCCTCTGCATCTCAGCCAAGTAATAAAACGAGATGAGTGCGGTTGGGTGAACACCAGAAAGGTCTTGACATTTCAGAAATCCTTCGCTGTTTTGCCTTTAATCAATCTGTACTAAGCTTCAAAATGTGAAAAGAAGCACTTAGGGCAAAGGTGAATTTCATATGAAGAGTAAATTGCTTTGATGCTTGTCAGTTTGCCAAGACTTTTACAGCTAAAAAGTGGTGTTATTTCCCAGGCTCCTGGCATGGTCCTAAAGGTCACACCTCACAACTCTTCCTTTCTCTCTAGCTGTTGTTCATACAATAAAAGCCATAAGCATAAAGACATTGCTGCTGCTTTTTGGTACCACTAGGTCGAAAAGTCTCAACAATCTAAGTTGTTTCATGTTCTTGGAGCTTTATTGTGAAGGTGGAATGAAAACGGGCCATGAGAAGCTCATCGCCACTTTGCATCACTACTATTACATCACACATGCATGTATCTTCCTTCCCTTCCTACTCAGTGGAGTTCACGTTCCTTTGCAAACCAGCCTCATTAATTCTAAGTGAGAATTTTACCACATGTTCACAATGAAGGGTCTCCAAATAAATGACAACTACTTTTCAAACACATTACAACTACAGTTTTGTGAAGACTGCTGTAACAGAGAGGCACGTTCTCACTAGGCATTAAATCAAGAACAGCAAGATTTGTCCAGGTCCAGATCTCAACTCTAGTGGAACTTACATAATAGTCTCATGCCACATTTGTTTTTTACAACTAGCAAGCATGCTATGAAGTGTAATTACAGAATATTCCACGGTTGTAATATGTCAGTATTTAGGGGTCCTGCATGAATTTAGAGAAATAAAGCATCATGCACTACGTGGGCAGAGCTTCCCATACACAGGGCTAACACTGTTCAATGAAGGTACAAACCCACGGAGTGCTGACTCTAACCTACCTGCACTCTTTATGATGAAACTAGATCGGAGCTCAGCTGCTGCGTGGTGAACGCCATAAAACCCAGAACCACCTCGCTAGCATGGACCCAGGACCAGTGCGCTACCTTGGTCTAACCAAGGGTCCAGAGGCAATGCCTCTTTCCCCCTCCCCTTGCAAACAACTATGATCACAGCTGCTGCACATCATGAGGAACAGCACCCCCCTGCCCAGCACCCACCTCCTCAGTCCTACACCTGCTCGCTGTGACCCAGCTGCCCAGGGCATCGCCACACTACCTCCCTGACCCCACCTCACACAGCCCCTCAAGTTCTCTCACAGACACCCCCACACCCCACCTCATGCACCCCCTTGCAGTTCTCTCACTAACCCCCTCATGCACCCCTCACAGAGCCCACACCCCACCTCGTGCACCCCCTGGGAACCCCTTGCAGTCCTCTCACACTCCACCTCACGCACCCCTCCTAGCCCCCCGCAGTCCTCACACCCCGCAAGGACCCCTCGCAGTCCTCTCACACCCCACCTCACACACCCTTCAGACCCCTCGCAGTCCTTTCACAAACCCTCTCATACACACCTCACCCCACATATCCCTCAGGGACCCCTCGCAGCCCTCCCACACCCTCTCCCCTCCTGCAGCAGGTAAATTTCCACAGGGGCAAAAACCCAGCATTTGTCAGCCTCGCTGAATTCACTACCATTAAGTTTTTGAAGAGTTAACATGGGAGTAAACCAAACTTTCTGTAGATTCAAACTATATGCTTAGGCCTGACTGTGAAGGTGCACATATCCTCATCTCCCCACCCCATAGGAACAGGCACAAAGATGAAGCAAAGTTGGAAGTAAAGATGACAGACCTGGTTGCAGAGCACATCACTTGGTCACGCAGTCTCTGAATGACATTATAGTACTTTACTGTTACTTTGGAGTCTGCCTGTATCAGGAAACTTGAGAGCTCCAGTTTTGTATCGCACAGAATACAAACCTGACTACCCCAGACGTAAAGCCTTGTCCACATACGTAATGCAGAGACACTGTTTCTACAATCTAAGAGTTAAAACAAGGCAAATCAAAGTACCGTAAGCAGTCATAGCCTTTCAGCTGAGGAGAGCTTCTGCACACAGAGGTATCGGCGACCACCTGTAGCATTTCAAACATTTCCACCACAAACAACCTAGAAATCGCTTGCCTAGGTCATTAACGCCAGGTTGCGAAGGATTCCCAGCAGTCTCTGACAGAAGTCACTGTCAGACAGTTCAGCTCATGGAATCCTCAGTTTAATTTCACTTCGGCCGGCCCTTCACCTGATAAATTTGCTCGCCGAGTGACACAAGGTGTAACTCCTCGGGCACCGCGGCACTGATTTACCCCAAATTCACTCCGCAGAAGCTCACTCTGCTTTTGGACAGAGGTCACCTCTGCCCCAGGAGCGCAGCAAAACCGCCGGCAGGCTAAACCCAGCGACACCGACCTTCGCACAAAAGGC